AACTCTAATTTTGGGTGCACATGGAAACACTCAAAGCCCTTCTGAGGCAGAGTTTTCTCCACCTCTTCCACAGAGGGATGCTCAAAAGCCAACATTTGCAAGCAACCCCCTGCTGATTTCAGTGAGGTCCTCAACGATCAGGAGAATGGCCCCACCTGTGAGTATTTAGTGGGTCTTCCTTCACTGTTGATAGCTTTGGATTCTGTAAGGAGGCTGGAAAAGGTTTTAAGCAGTCACTCACTAGAGACTACTAATTAAATTAATTTAAATGATTACATAAATTAAAAAAACATTTTAATGGTGGAGAGTATACTGTTTCTTGAAGATCTTCAGCTTCTGGAACGAGCTATCAGGTTAAAGTATTTCAGTTTTAATTTTGCATGCATGATTGCTTTGTCTTCCTGAATATCTGCAAAGGGGGTCTATCTATACATAAGACAGTCTTCCAGCTCAAAAAGAATATTTGAAAAATAACCAAGACTGGATTTGGTAGCAGGTTGGATACAAACAAATTTGCTCTCAGTCACATTCTCCGAGGAGTGTAAGGAAGGGATAGCACGCTTGTATAACACCTCAGGATTTAAAAATGTGAAGCTTGTAGGAATGCTATATATGCAGAGGATTAAACCTTACAGGTTTTTTTTTTTAAGCACAAAGGTTTTTACCAACTCTTTAAAACCCAGAGTGCTCAGAATTACGTGCTCTGGTAACAGGCTTCTTAGAAAACGCTCAAACATGCCTAAAAGCATCAAACTGCTGCCATTGCAGTAAGCACTACCTCAGTGACACATTCTTGTCTCTTCAAGACAGTTATTTTTGTTGGCTAAGCAGAGAACAGTAAATACTTCTGTGACCAAAGCCTGAAGTAAAAACATTTCCAAAGGCTTTCTGTATAAAAGTCTGCTGCATAGGGAGAATTTTTTTTTCCCCGACTCATAATTTAAAAATGCAAATAAAACACCGTATCTTTTAGCAAAAAAAAGCTACTTTATTTTGGAGATGCCAAAAAAATATGTAATACCAACAGTCAGCTACATGACTATATAAAATCATACTTACTGCTAAAATGCTGGAGTTGATATAGAACAGCATACTGACCGCTTGGATGTTGCCACATTTTTCCACGCTTACTGATCTAGTGCATTTTGTAGCCTGGTTTACTAAAAACCCTGGGAAAAATCATCAAGTATTACTGAAGGAAATTAAAGAGTAATTCTAAAAAGTAGAAATAAAAAACAATAAAAGAACAAGAAAAGTATTAGCAAAAGTGAAAGTAAACCTAAGTTCTATTGCAGATAAGGTTTTGTGTAGGCTATAAAGATTGATACTCTCTTTAAGATTCTGCAGAAATGCTATGAGAGAAATATTACTTCTTAACAATAGAAGGTTAATAAAAGCTAGAAGATTTATTACTTCATTCCTGAGATCTCATAAGATTTATTTCTTTCACAAAGGGTTCAGTCTTCCTGTGGTCGTCATCATCGTATTATGATACCGTATTTAATAACAGTGGGTCTTGGAAAATGCAGGTGTGTGGGTTTGGCTGGGGCTTTGGTTTGTGTCTTTTTTCCCCTCTTCCTCTGCAGAATTTCAGGAAAGTGTGTGAAAGGTTAAAATGTAGGGCTCGAGCCTGCAAGTCTGACTCGAGTTGCATTCAGGCTGTGAAAGGAACCTCATTGCACCAGAGGGACATCTTACAAAGGCTGCCCAGTTAGGTCTTGCTTGTGTAATAGCCTCTTCCCTCTTGGTGTCACCCTTGTACTATTTTATTAAACCAATTATGCCAAATAGGATTTTTTTTTGTCGGATAAACGACCCATTAACAAGACTCTCAATGATTTACATATCTAACTTTGAATGTTTAATATGGATGTAACACAACTTGCAATCTATGTCTAAAAAAACCCCAGAGAAACAGAAGCTATTTGAAAAACATTTGTTTGTGAATCGTTATCTGAATTTACATTTGTGTGTGTGCCAATTTACTAAAATCAAGTCAGAGCAGAATACTCTAAAGCAAATAAACTGGAATTCAAATTTCCAACCTGCAGGATTTGCATCAGAGCACCAAGAGGAGACAACAGGACTAGGCAGTCTTAAAAATGCATCCGCCGTCTGTATAGGAACACCATACTGCCAAATAAGACAACATATTCATGTATATAGGTGTTTCAGTTCATGGAAAGTTTTAGAGCATTTGTACAAAGAATAAATCTGAATAAATGAAGTACTTCTTTCCACTATATCTGTCAATACTGCACACTACTTTGTGCATTGATTTTTAAGCCACTGCTAACAGCTTTATGTTTACAATAGCAAAACAGCTACTTGTTTTTCAAAGATCTTAAAAGTCTAATTCGCTTTTTAAGTAAGCTAACACAAAATGCTACACTTCTTATTTTTACATGTCTGTATTTAAAGACCATAATAAAGTTTGCCTTTTCCAGAAGAACTGTATTTTTAAAAGCAGATGCAAACAATGCTCCCTTGCTCTTTTACGGAACGATCTAATACTAACGGAATCAGATAATTATTTACCACGTATCTGTAAGTCTCATTCGCATCAGAAGGATTTTGAGCATCCGTGTTCATATTCCAGCTGTCAGGCTCAGCACTGAAAGCAGCACTTCCAAACCGTTTAAGCAATTGATCAAAATTTTCAGAAGTAGGCATTTCAGGGGAACTGAAGGAGAGTGCTTGTTTATCTGTCAAAATACTTTCAAGAATGAGAGAACTTCTAGGATAAGAGATACAGAAGCAGTATTTAGTAATGATTTTTCCTTCTGGAGTTGTTAAAGACAGAAAAATATTGATGCAGCTTTTCTTCAAGAAAAGCTAAGCAGTACCTTAGTTCATCATTTCACCCACATCCATGAAAGCACAAAACCTAAACTTAAGGGAAGAGGTAAGTCCCTTTCCTTCAAAATCATGGTTTCTAACAGCATCAGAAATTCCAAAACAAAGACATATCAATCTGTGTCTATAGTTCTTATGTTAAGTATTCAGATGACTACAGCACAGTTGTAATTAAACTAAGAGAACACAGCACCGATAATTTCTTACTTCCCTGTGAGTCACTTCAAAGCTGGCCAGAAAGGATTTGTACCACTGGTGCCTATGACATAGTTACAGTAACAGATCAGGAAGGAGACAATGTCCCATGATACAACTTTAAATGTGATTTACTGAGGATGCAAGTTATTTACCAAAAAAGGCAAAAAATATTAATTTTTTTTCAACAGAGAAGATGTTTTAACAGAGATGTTTTAACTCCAGTTTCACAAGTGAAAGGATTACAATGTAAGGACCGTGAGCATACAGAATAACCAGTTTTCTCACAAGTTTAGTTACTTCTAATTTTAGTCTGTTTGTGCAACCTAAAGAGCTTTTAAAAATAACAGCACAATGCTTAATATTGACAACAACTCTACTTACAGTTTGTAGCATGAATGCAGAAAACACTGGGATTGACTTGGTCAATTAATTTAAATATCCTTTCTGGTGGATTTGCTTCAACATCAAGTGAATATACAGCAGCTTTCTGACTACAAAGACGGCTGTCACCTCTGCAAAGAATAATAATGAAATCAATAACGCACTAGAAGGTAGTATTGGCCCTTTTTAAAAATCCTTTTCATATAGTGAGGCGGCATCAAAAAAGCAGTAAATATATTGCTTGTTTAATACAATTTGTATAGCAATTGTGCCTCCTTAGAAGGTTTCTATTCTTTTATACTGTGTGCTTAGTAATAAATAAATCTCCAATGTGTTTTATCTAACAGTGGAAACTGTGCGAGCAGCAACATGAAGAAAGGTAAGAGCCAGAGCAGGGGGAAGGGAAAAGCCTGACAGTAACGGTATTAGAGCTCAAATGAGAAGCTGGATGGGATCCAGGCGGTGTGAGCCACCACCAATACAGGGTGCACCACAGGCTATGCATGGGTCAGAAACATTTATAATAATACAACACAAGTGGGTAATGTGATGGCACATAGGCCAGAAAAAAGGTCTGTTCTGTGAATGTTAGAATAGTATGCACTCTGGGGGTAAAGGCCTGCTTGAGATGCATGGAAAAGAAATGGCAGAGTGAGAAACAGGGAGGTGAAATCACCCATCCAATCCAGGAAAAGTGTTTGTAGGTGTGCCACGGGTTCATCAGCCACAGCCGGCTGCAAGGCAAGTGTGCCAGGTCATCCCCTGAAGAGCACAGCTGTGTCCTACATGCTAGAAATACACGCTGACAATCCTTGGGAAACTGGTACTCAGCATTAAAGCAGTCAAGGACAGACACTGAAGAAGTTAAATGACTTTTAGAAATTACTTTTCAAGCATGGAGTTAAAGTTTTCCAGGAGGTGAACCGTTTGTTAGTAGGATCACATAAATCAAAGACTCTTTTTCTGTTGTTTCAGACCACACTGCCTGTTACTTGTGAGCAAACACTTTCAGGAACTAACACAACTATGCAAATGTATATAAATCTAGGTGTAAATAACGAGATCCATAAAACTTTCAGCCATTGGAAAACTGTATGGATTTTTATGCAAAATGAACATTTTGCACAAAAAAATGTATCAGGGAAAGAAACACAACTTCATTTTATGCATTTCTACTTGACAAAGAGTAGTTACCTGAGACAATTAAGCTGTCACTCAGGAAGGCGTTGATTAGACCTTTCTGATATATAAAAATATCTATAAATGGATAGCAGTAGTCATTGTGTGCGAGAACAATAAAAAAACGCAGTCTAGGATGACTGCTAATTCAAATTTCAAAGCACCAAGAATAAACCCCAGTGTTCAGATTGGTGTAATTTATGCAGAAGGTGGGCTGAAGAGCTGTACTTAGTGTTCTAAGGCACCAGAGGTTTTTACATTGCGAGTTTGAAGTGAGCTTTCTTAACTAATTTTCGAGAAGATTAAGTTGGGTGGAGGTGTTTTCAGATAAATTGTAAATAACAAAGGAACTATGATCGGCATTATTTTATTGATATAATGTTAAATTTTACTGTTTGCAAAGCGACAGACCGGCTGGGAGGCAGCAGGCTGGGACGCTGACTTGTAAAACTAGGATCAGAACGATGCTCATGCTACTTCATTAAGCCCTGAGTTGATCAAGTTTCTAGCTGATATCGTAAACCGTAATGAAAGAGGTTACTGATAAATTGCTGATGACGAATGGAGGTGGCCAGATGGTCCCATGGTATCAGCTTGCCTAACTTCCAGACACTGCATTATATTGATGAAAGTCTAAAGATGCATTACTCCTCCCTCAACAGAAGGCATCTCCACCTAAGCACCCATAGCACACCGAAACAGGAGAAAAAGCAAGAAACATGACTTTAGAAAAGAGGGAATAAGTGAAAGAGAAATGGGTGGGAGGCCAATTTACTGTTCTGCCTGGTTGGGGCCAAAACTTTACAGGCTCAGTGCAGGGAGGGACTGGTGAAAGGGCAGGCAGTGGATAAGATGGCAGTGGGCAGAGGGGTTAGAACTGGTGGGAGGATAGAGCCCTTACAAATGCACGCAGCAAACAAAACAAGACTTTGTATTTCGTAGAGCTATTTATGCACTTACATGACAATAGGAACCGAACACGTAGTAAAGAGACTGAAATCGGCTGCGCTGCAATCAGGGTCACAGCAGCAATTTACATCGCACTGTGCCACCAACAGGTCACAGACACACAGCTTGGCAACTGGAGGAGAGATTTAAATTAGCATTAGAGCTGGAACTTTACGCGTTACACCATGTTCCCCAACACTTGCATTTTTCACCTCGCTTTATTTTTGACAGTGGTCAAAAGTCTATACCCAAATTCACGTGGTTTTTTTTTTCTTTTAAAGTCATTTTTCAAAGCCATCTTTTCTGCTACTTAACAAATCTATTTGGAACACAGTAACAAAACCAAGGGCGTATGAAAAATCTGACGGTGTGTTCTCTGCGAAATCAAAAAAACAACTTCATAGGAATTGTGAAGGTATGAAAATATACTCAGGCCTGCAGAGGAAAAAAGAGCTACAAAGTGGTGAGATGTTTACAAGTATAGAGCATCTCCCAGGGTCTAGTAATGTATTTTCCTGATGTGCCAACATCGCCATAGTTGAATTCTTTGAAGTTGTTTTTTCCCTCTGTGTTTAGGTACTGTGAAGTACTGCAATAATACAAAAAGTAATTGCTAGCAATGCTGTAAGCTGTCTCGATAAAATGCATTTGGCAACTTCTTAAAACATTCTTAGATTTTCAAGTTTACAAACTCAAACAACAGATGTCACTCTACTGAGCTGTTTAGGAGAGTTGCTGTTCTATAATAGCACAGAATGAAGAAAATTAAGACGAGTGCTCCATAGGCAAGACATTCAAAGAACACTCATTTTGGTAACTACTGCTTGTTTTATTTCAGCTTGACTGTTGCCCATTTCTCTGCAGTCTCCTGGGTGTTCTCTGACCATCTGAACAGCACCCAGCCACTTCCTGGAATCTTGGAAGCTCTGACTGTTTGGTTAGCTGAGTTTAGGACTGGAATGAGTCCTCAGCTCACCTGGTAAACAAGAGAAGTTTAAACATGGATGATTAGATTGCGCAGTTATGCCTCTGAGATCAGGGATTTAAGCCTCTTTTCACTAAGGAGGCATGTTTAATTTGGCAGGTAATCTAGGGAAGGTGAAACGCTGGCAACAACACTGGGAAATCAGAAGTTAAAGCATACCTGCCTATTAGAAGAGAGTGGGAAACACCTTCTGATAGGACAATAACAAAAACCTGTGATCTATATTGCTATAGCACCACTATGTATCCACAGAGCTGGGGTTAAATTAGGAGTCCTGTAGAAAACCGTGTAAGTGGGGATCTCCAAGCACAGACGGTGTGAGCCGGGGATTCCTCTGCAAGGCCAGGCTCTGCCCTGTGGGCTCAGAGCAGGGTGCCGGGTGGGCAGGAGAGCCTGCCCCAACTCACAGGACCGTGCATGCTGGCATCAGCGTGCCCAGCACCCGAAGGCTGCCTAAGGGCTTGCTGAGCCTGCCTTTCTGAGGAGGCGCTGAGCCCTGGCTGAAGAGACAAGAGGCCCGACAGAAGCCGTGGCCCGGGAAGAGCCGCCGGTGCCGCGCAGATCCCGCCTCGCAGCGCCCCACCGGGCACCCACCGTCAGTGATCGGGGCTGGCCCGCTGCGGGGCTGCGCCTGGGGGGAAGCGCGGGTTTCCGGTGGCGCCGCAGACCCCGCCGCACTGGCAGCGGGCTCCATGCTCGTTTCTGCTACCCGAAGCAGCAACAAGAGAAGAATAAAGAGAAGGACCCCTAGTTTCAGCCTCGCCGCCATGGCAGCCGCCCATACCAACGGCGCGGTTTCTGGGGAGCGCGGAGCATCACGGGAAGGGTGCGTTCCGCCCCTCTCCGCGGCATCACGGGAAACAGGGGGGGGTCTGCGGCCGCGGGGCACAACGGGAAGGGGTTGTGCAGCCCGCGCATCATGGCGGGCGGTGAGGGGAGGTTGCGATCTGGCGAGGCAGAGCTTCGGTCGTGTCTGGTCGCCATCTCCCGTCACCATCAGCTCTCCTTCAGCGCAGAAAGGCTTGGGGTGAGGCCGCGCACTGGACCTTTGGCTAGACGCGGCCCTGTCTGAGGCTGCCCTGCTCAGCCAGCCTCAGCACTGCCATCGCAGTGGTCTCAGGTGCCTGCTTAGGCCACCCAGCCCCTACAGAAGGAGCCCAGTGTGGCAGGAGGCTGAGGACAATAAGAAAAAATTTAAGGTGTAGTGATGTAAGTGTAAGTCATGTACATGGTCTGGGCAAAAAAGCTACTTTTTTTTTTCGCCTTATGCGAAAAAAAAGAAAGCGGCCCTTTGTGAGCTATCAAATCCCCTCTTTAGCATATTTTTGCAAATTTTATTAATCTGCTTTCCTTAAGCAAGTTTTTTAAGTCTTACTAATTTTTTCTTTTGAAAGTGCCACGGGTCCTTAATGCGCAGTGTGCGTGTTCATTATTTAATCTTGCTAGTCATCTTGCAATATATACAGGTGGTTTTATGCTAATTTGGAAAAACTGAGCTAGTGAGTGGCTAAATGATCACAGCTCCTTATGGCTGTCTTACAAATGTTAACACCTAGGCTTCAGTTCCAACCAAGAGACGACTTTCCTAAATTAAACTTGTTGAAGTTTGTGTTCTGCATTAGCTGATTGAAAGTAACATTTGTTCCTGCATCAAACTGTCGAGCAGTGATACACAGTGTTTCTTAGTTTTCTGCCTAGGTTTATTCCTCCTGTCTTGAAGGGAAGCCGATAAAAGCTTTAAGACCACAAGAGGGCATGTTCTCTTTTACGTTTAATAAACCTGACTGCTCCCTGTGCCGGTCACTACATCTGAACAGCACAACTTCACGCCAGCAAGCAATTTTAGTACGTTGGAGATGTTCCAGCTTTTTCTATTGAAAACTGAAATAATTCCATAATGCATACAGCGTCTTTTCTTCACACTGCCCTTTGCTGCACAAGAGCCAATTATCAGCAAAGGTGTTGATGAGTTACACAAGACAGACTATTGTCTGCCTCACATAGTACAAGGCTCCCAAGGTCATTTGATATTACCAAAGAGCTGGGAACTTAGGATGGATGGATTTGAAATAGCTCCATATCACGTGGCAAACTCCTGGAGTCATCCTTCCCCTTGGGAAGTTCTCATTCTTCCAAGGACATGGTGATGTGAAGGTGAGAATCCAGTGTACTCCATTGCCCCTCAGACCTCTTGTGAGCCTCATAGGCAGTAATAGTCTCACCTGGGTCTCCATTCTGCATTGCTTCTGTTAAAACAAGTGTGACCCAAAGTTACTGTATCTGCTTCCTTCCACAGGGAAGAAGGACTGATGTGTTTAGTCTCTGTTTCTTTGCTGGTTTTGAGATTAGTTTGATTCAGCTGGAAACATTCATGCATTTCCTGTCAGTAAGGTTTCTTAAATGATGTTACTCATGTTGGGTTTTTGAAGAATAACAGTAACTTCAAGTACACTTCCACTTTGAAACGTGACTGTAAAAATGGCATCATAGGACTCCGTTTTTGCTTCTCACCAAGGCTGTGCCAGGACTGGCTGCAGCCGTAGAGGAGAATGTGTGCGTATATTTGGAGAAGGTTATGGGATCTTTAAAAAGATCTCCTGCAGCAGGGAAAAATGTTGACTTAATGCCACTAAGATTTCCATATTCGTAGCGATGTTCAGGACAGAAATTGGTGCGCTATCCTGGAAACTGCAGGGTCTTTGGCCCTGCTTCATAAAGCAGAGAAGCACAGGTTGTAGACATCAGCTGAGGACCTGTTTGCCCCTAGCAGAGGTAGAAACCTTCCAGCTTCGAGAAGGAGGACTTAGGCAGGAACAGTCCCCGAAGTAAAGGAAGTTTGTTCTCCTGCCTGTGAAAGGGAAAGGTGTTTCTCCTACCTAGAAATTCTGCAAATTTTGAAACTTGGAATTCAGGTTGCAGGTTTGGAGAGAGATTGGTGCTTAGTTTCGTGGTTATCATCACTGGTTGTATTTTATCTTCTGTGTCACTTGTTCAACTGCAGTGTCAGGAGATAATTAATATTAAAGCACCCCTATTTGTTATTTTACACATTTCTGATGGATTTAAAGTCAGCAGAAAGGGCTGTTGACAATACACGAGGGAAAATACAATTGAATACATTAATTTTGCATCCAAAATTACTTTGCAAAGCTGATGGCGAACAGAGGACCAGACTCCTAGATGAAAACCAACCCTTGCTGAAATCTGTGAGCTATTCCCAAGCACAGATTGCACCCTGAATGCATGTGGGCAGGAGCTGGATGAATAAGGAGGTATTATTTCTTCCTGCATCTACAATTGAAATAGAACTGGGCAACTGTTCAATAGCAAAGTATAAAGTAATTAAAGTGTTTTTATAGTGACCTTTTCAGAAGTTAGGGCTTTACTCAGATCAACAGTTCACCTAAGCCCATCCCCAATGCTGGCTGTAAAAGAAGATGAACGCAGCTGTTGTGTCACTTCAGCTTCCCCTTTAAAAATGCTTAAGTGCCTAACGCTGAAGTTCGTAACAGTAGGATGTGATAGCTCAATAAATTCCTGAAGCCTCTCCAGCAATATGTACACACAAACAGAATGTTTGTCCCTGCAGAAAGGCACGTAAGGAAAATTTAAAAAATACCACTTTGTCATAAAGAGAAGAAAGGCAAGACAACAGCCGAGTATAAGAGAAACCATTTGGAAAATCCCACCGCAAAGCACACCCTTGTGTTCAGCTTCCAAACTCCACAGTGGGTAGGACAAGATCAGGACATTAATAAATAATGCATGTTCTTCGTCACAGAGATTTTAATTTATCCCATCGACACGAGTTAATCAATAATTAAAGCACTTTGATCCTCATGTGGGAGGTCCTATACAATGAAAATGCAAGCAGTTTAAGATGCAGTAGGTTGCTGTCTATTAAAACACATGTTAAGGGATTTACTGTATTACTATTTTAATAATATTTTAAGCAGCAAGTTTCTGGTGTGTACTTAAGCATTATAGTGTGGCATTTGCAATCCAGACGTGGCAGGATTACGTCGCATCAAGTATAGTAAAACCAGGGGAAGTAACTGATTATAAGCACAAATAAAACTGGCATCTACGTCTTTTATGAAATGCCAAGACTAAGCAAAAACCAGTACTTGTATTTCAGTTTCTCTCATCCAAGCTTATTTTAATAATTCAGTTAAATTCTGTTTTTAACTATTTAACTTTCACGACAGCCCTTCCCTTTTAAAATTACTTGAGATTTAAATAATTGAATTACTTTTACACATTGAAAAGGATTGCTGTTCCTTAGAACAAAAGACACTGGGGTTTTCAGAATAGTGCATCGATGTCTGTCCTGAATGTAGCTACAAGCATGCAAATACAAGTGAGTAAACTGGCAAAGTCAACGTGTTTCTCTGCAGCGGGACAATGACACGTATCCTTTTGGTTAAACAGTTTGATTTTCTTTTTGGACACTTAACCTAACTCAGAGTAGAGTTACTGTAATAACCACGGTCTTCATAAGTTGTGATGGATGAGGTGTTCAAGGTGTTTGTTGGCTGAACATACATTGTAGACAATAGACAAGGCTTTTAACTGACTCTGGTTTTGGTGTTAGGAAGCTTTTAGTAACAAAAAATGCTCAGAACTACTAGGGCGTATTAGCTTCTCTAGGAATTGGTATATTTCCTTTTAATGTAAACTTTTAAAATGAGGAGAAAATCCCAAGAGGAAACAGTTTTGCATGTGCATGACTTCATATAAATAGGTATTTTCAGTTTGATGCCATTCAAAACCATTTTACCACTGACCAAAAGTCAGAGTCACCATTAAATTACAATAGTTTGTATTTTATAGAGAAGCTGTGTGACTTCAGTGAGGTTCTAAAGTAATTGAGAGAGAAACTGATACACAAATTAAATCAGCTCCCCAGGATTTCAGAGAGCTGGGATTTGGGAGGTCCCAGTTCCCCTCCTGAGATGGTGGTATTCTGACTCTGACCTTCTCTTGACTCTTCCACGTGGAGAAGTCTGGTATCGCTGTCCTTTTCACGTTACTTTTCTGTTTGCTGCTACCTATGCTGTCTGAACTTTGTCTTTTCAAGGCAAACATTGGTTTTGCTCTATGACAGATCACTTTAAAAATTCAAGTGGACAGGCATTTTTAATTAGAGTCAAAACAAAGTCAAATCAGGCTGAAATAAACTGCGTTCTGGTCGAGCACAACATTAGCCCTTAAACAAACAGTGAAGAAGCCTGAGCTGTCTCTGTACGGCAGATGGCATTACAGGTAATATTTATCATACTCCAGTTCCAAGGCTGAGATAGTAGGGAGGGAGGATTGACGTCAGCTACAAGTGAATCAGTCTTAATAAAAGCTGAAAAACTGCTGGTGCCTTCAACTGTTGATTGCATTGTATAACACTTCTGCTTCACACTCCCCACTGCATTTATTAGTCTGTCTGAGCAAGCCTAGCAGAGAGAGTTCATTTTGGTTTGCAGCTTAAATGAACGGATGTAAGTGGGTCTTGGACTTTGAGGTGGGAAGATTCCACCCAGCTGCAGTAGCCAGGGGGATGCCCTTTGCCCCAGTTTTTGTGCCAAATTTGTGCATTGAAGAATTTTAAACAAGTATCACTTGGCAGGATATCGACCCTCGGGGTACAAGAATAATACTGAGTGAGGCAGCAGGGCATGCACCGGGAGGGATTTGCAGGGAGATCTATCTGGACTGGTACTGAGCAGTGGGGAAAACCAGTTCTGTCCTATTTAATTTAAAATGTTTTTCTTTGTC